CTCAAAAAAAAAAAAAAAAAAAACCCACAGCCCTCCAGGGTATATTATGAAAAGCTGTTTCTTCAAAAAAAAAAAAAAAAAAAACAGTTCCTCTCCCTAAGAGTAACTGTTGTGACTAGGGTCTGGTGCCTTCTGCCAGAGACAGACTGTGTGTCACAGGCAAATGTGTGTGTATTTATATAGTTCAAAAAAAAAAAAAAAAAAAAGCAATGCATACTGGTCTACACTGTACTTTTTCAACTTAATAAAAAAAAAAAAAAAAAAAAACAATACACACAAGACTACTCCATTTATTTATTTAATTTTATAAAAAAAAAAAAAAAAAAAAATTGCTCTGTCGCCCAGTCTGGAGTGCAATAGCATGATCTCAAAAAAAAAAAAAAAAAAAATCCAGGGTTCAAGCAATTCTCCTGCCTTAGTCTCCCAAGTAAAAAAAAAAAAAAAAAAAAACTACCATTCCCGGCTAATTTTCGTACTTTTATTAGAGATGGAAAAAAAAAAAAAAAAAAAACTGGTCTTGAACTCCTGACCTCAAGTGATCCACCACCTCTGAAAAAAAAAAAAAAAAAAAAACAGGCGTGAGCCACTGGGCCCAGCCAATTTTTGTATTTTTAAAAAAAAAAAAAAAAAAAAATGTTGCCCAGGCTGATCTAGAACTCCTGGGCTCAAGCAATAAAAAAAAAAAAAAAAAAAAAAGTGTTGGGATTACAGTCGTGAGCCACTGTGCCTGGCCAGAAAAAAAAAAAAAAAAAAAATGTGTACATTTTCACAAATGGTACCCTCATAAAAAGACAAATCTCCCACCTGAACATAAGATCCATTGGGTTGGCTGGGCACAGTTGCTCATGCTTGTAATCCCAGCACTTTGGGAGGCCGAGGTGGGCAGACCACGAGGTCAGGAGATTGAGACCATCCTGGCCAACATGGTGAAACTCTATCTCTACTAAAAATACAAAAATTAGCTGGGCATGGTGGCACATGCCTGTAATCCCAGCTAGCTACTCAAGAGGCTGAGGCAGGAGAATTTCTTGAACCCAGAAGCCAGAGGTTTCAGTGAGCTGAGATAGCACCACTGCACTCCAGCCTGGCGACAGAGCTAGAAAAAAAAAAAAAAAAAAAAAAAAAAAAATCCATTGGATGAGTTTTTCCTTTTTTTTTTTTGAAAAAAAAAAAAAAAAAAAAGTGCATAAAAAATATTTGTTGCTGGGTGCTGCGGTTTACACAAAAAAAAAAAAAAAAAAAAGAGGTCAAGGCAGGCAGATCAGTTGAGGTCAGGAGTTTGAGAAAAAAAAAAAAAAAAAAAAAAAACCTTGTCTTTACTAAAAATACAAAAAAATCATCTGGGAAAAAAAAAAAAAAAAAAAATTTCCAGCTACTCGAGAGGCTGAGGCACAGGAATAGCTTCAAAAAAAAAAAAAAAAAAAAAGCTGAGCTGAGATGGTACCACTGCACTCCAGCCTGGGAGACAAAAAAAAAAAAAAAAAAAAAAAAAAAATTGTTGAGGGAATGAGGGGCTGTCCTTTCCTGTAAAAAAAAAAAAAAAAAAAAACACACACACACGTACACAAACATCATTTGATGAAGGTGTAAAAAAAAAAAAAAAAAAAAATAGGCACACAGAAATGCCCAGGAATGAGTGAAAATTGGAAAACTGGATAGAAGACTGGGCCAGATGCCAGAAGGCAGGCACAAACTGGGCCTTGCTGGTGCCAAAAAAAAAAAAAAAAAAAAATCTACAGAAGCAGGAAAGACTGTGGAGTGTCCCCAGTCCCAAAAAAAAAAAAAAAAAAAACCTGAATTCTGGAGTTCTATCAAGGGAGAGACTGGTCAGGCAAAAAAAAAAAAAAAAAAAATTCCAGCACTTTGGGAGGCCGAGGCAGGAGGATTGCTTGAACGCAACAGTTCAAGACCAGCCTGAGCAACATAGCGAGACCCCCATCTCTACAAAAAACTGCAAAAAATTAGCCAGGTGTGATGGCGTACCTGTAGTCCCAGCTACTCTGGAGGCTGAGGTAGAAAAAAAAAAAAAAAAAAAACTATGATTGAGCCACTGCACTATGGCCTGGGTGACAGAGTGAAAAAAAAAAAAAAAAAAAAAAAAAAAAAAAAAAAAAAGGGAGAGACCAATTTTGTCTTTGAAAAAAAAAAAAAAAAAAAATAGGAATTTCATTATTTGTTGGGTGGACATACAATAGGCACAAAAAAAAAAAAAAAAAAAATGACACCTAGTAGGTACTTCCAAGGCTCTTTGTTGAGTAAAAAAAAAAAAAAAAAAAAAAACTTCCAAGTCCAGGGTCCCGGGGTGAGCCCAGAGGTAACCTGGAGTTGAAGACAGCTGTTTCAGGTTGAGGCCACCTGGCCACGAGTACTGTGACGTCACTAAAAAAAAAAAAAAAAAAAAATGGCCGGTTCTCACGGGTGGGGGCTGGGAGGGGCAAAGCGAAAAAAAAAAAAAAAAAAAAAGGGGCCCTCCGTGCAGCTCCTGTCTGCCCCCGCGTGCGTCCAAAAAAAAAAAAAAAAAAAATCTGGAATTCATTGCAGCCGCCGCCGGAAAGGGGAGGAGAGGAGGGCGGGGCGAGCGGGGGGCAGAGGCGGTGGCGGCTCACCCCGCCCCCCCACTGTCCCTCGTCCCAGCCCCGGGACGTAGCCGAGCCCGGCGGGCAACCCCAGCCCCAGCCGCGGCCGCCCTGGGGACGCAGACGCCAAGGCCCCTCCGGCCAGGGCCGGGAGCCGGGCCGGCCTAGCCAGGTGAGCGCGCGTGAAGACAAGGAAGCAGAAAGGGCGGGCCCTGGTCCCCTGAGGTCTCGGGATCCGAGCTAGGGGGCCCCGATCGGGAGGCTGGGGCGCGCACGCGCCGCCTGGGTTCCTGCAAAAAAAAAAAAAAAAAAAACGTGCGCCCTCTCCAAGAGTCCGGGCGGCCCCCACTGCCTCAAAAAAAAAAAAAAAAAAAATGCTCCCCGCCTTTCTCAGCGGCAGGAAGTTGGCGCCGGGGAAAAAAAAAAAAAAAAAAAATTTCGACTGGAGTCTTTGGGAGGCTGGACGCTGTGCCCGGGAAAAAAAAAAAAAAAAAAAATGTTTGGGGGAGGGGTGCAGCACCCCTCCTGGCTGACTCCTAAAAAAAAAAAAAAAAAAAATGTGCGCGCCATGGAGCCTCCAAGCCAAGGGGCGGCACCCAAAAAAAAAAAAAAAAAAAAACGGGCTGTCTGCCTCGGTTTCCCCAAGTTGTTTGCTCCTCCGGTTCCCCCGAGGGGGCGTGGCTTTGTTTTGGAAGGAAAGAAAAAGTGACTGCGTGGCTTAAAAAAAAAAAAAAAAAAAAACGGCTCAGGGATGGGTCGTGGGTGAAGGCGCGCGTGGCGCGACCCCGCGTGGCCCCTGGCTGGGCTGAGCGTCGGAACTCGCCCCCTTCTCCGGCACGGGTTAAAAAAAAAAAAAAAAAAAACCCCCTCTGTCTCTGTCCTTGTCAGATGCTCCGGGCGCCACAAAAAAAAAAAAAAAAAAAACGCGTGGGGCGACTCGGGCAGGCGCGGAACTCGCGGTGCAGAAAAAAAAAAAAAAAAAAAACCCACCCCCAGTCTTCCCAGAATCTCGAGGCGGGACCCCTGGCGGGACGGAGAGGAGTCCTTCCAGTCCCGCTTGGAGACGTTGGGGTGGTCTCGTATCGGTGGGGGGGAGAGGAGGCGTGGCTCCAGCGCAAGCGAGTGTGGATACCGCGCATTCCTAGGCCAAAAAAAAAAAAAAAAAAAACGGGTCAGCGCGAGGGCGGGTCCTGCTGCCATCTCCATGGAGACACGCTGGGCTTAGCCTGGTTGATGGTGGGCGGTGGGGGCGCTGCCCGGGGACCAGAGGTGTCTCCAGGCTCCTTCGTTGTTGTTTGGGTCTGGGCTGAAATTAGGAGATTCTACCCTTGAAAAAAAAAAAAAAAAAAAATTGTTCGTTGGTTCATTCATTCATTTGCCCATTCCACACGTAAAAAAAAAAAAAAAAAAAAGCCAGGCATCCCTGTAGGGGCTGATAGCTGACTTGCTCCCTAAAAAAAAAAAAAAAAAAAATCTAGGTGGAAGCCAGACAGAATAGGAGAAATATCATGATAGTTTCCCATAGTGGCAAGCGCTGCGCAGATAATAAAACAAGATTCTGTGATTAGAAAAGGCAAAAAAAAAAAAAAAAAAAAAGACTAGAGGTCAGGGGAGTCCCCTCTGAGGAAATGACCTTAAAAAAAAAAAAAAAAAAAAGGAGAGACAGTCATTCCAAGATTTGGGGAAAGGCCAGACGCGGTGGCTCACACCTGTAATCCCAGCAGTTTCGGAGGCTTTGACAGGTGAATCACCTGAAGTCAGAAGTTCCAGACCAGCCTGGCCAACATGGTGAAACCCCATCTCTACTAAAAATACAAAAAAAAAAAAAAAAAAAAAAAAGGTGCCTATAACCCCAGCTACTCAGGAGGCTGAGGCAGAAGAAAAAAAAAAAAAAAAAAAACAGAGGTTGCGGTGAGCTGAGATCACACCACTGCACTCCAAAAAAAAAAAAAAAAAAAAAATCTGTCTCAAAAAAAATTGAGGGAAAGTGTGCCCCAAAAAGAACAGCAGGGGCAAAGGCTTGCAGGTAGGGGTGGGGGTAGCATGGAGGAGGCTTAGTGTGGTTGGAGTGGAATGGCCCTGGGGGAGAATGCGAGGAGGCTTTATGGGCAGGGGCCATGCTACAAAAAAAAAAAAAAAAAAAAGGAGGATTTGGAGTTGGGGAGTGACATGGAGTTATGAGTTTAAAAGCTCCCCCTGGCTGCTTGGTAGAGAATGGCAGGGTAGGGGGTCCTGACAACCACAGGAAAAAAAAAAAAAAAAAAAACTACCATGGGCTCCATGGGTGACCAGGGGGAACTGTAACCACAGGGCCTGCCTCTCTGGAACTGGGAGTGGGTGGAGAGGAGCTTAGAAGCCACTGAGGCTTCCTCCATCCTTCCCCTCTCCTAATCTCCAGCCAAACAGTCGTCTGAGTCTATCTCTCTTCCAAAAAAAAAAAAAAAAAAAACTTGTCCCTCCTGTTCCATTTCAGGCCTGGACATTCTATGTAAAAAAAAAAAAAAAAAAAAGAGCTTCTGAGAGGGAGTCAGGAAGGACTTGGTGAAGGTGAAAAAAAAAAAAAAAAAAAAACCTTCTCAAAACCTGGTAACCTAACACAGGGAGGGGACACAAAAAAAAAAAAAAAAAAAAAAGGGGGTGACTCTTCCGCCAGCTCCAACCTCAGTGCCCTGCAAAAAAAAAAAAAAAAAAAACAACCACCTAAGCGCTCGCCTCAGTAAAGTCCTAGTGGTTAAAAAAAAAAAAAAAAAAAAAATGGGCCTCAGTTTCCCCTTCTCTAGGAGAGCTGCCTCTCCAAAAAAAAAAAAAAAAAAAACCCCGGGCTTCAGAAGGTGAGAGCGCAGCGCCCCCAGTCTTAAAAAAAAAAAAAAAAAAAAATTGTTTGGTCAGTCCCTGGGATGCAAGGGCTGAACACATTTCATTTCATTTCGTTTTGTTTTGTTTTGAGACAGTCTCGCTCTGTCACCCAGGCTGGAGTACAGTGGCTGCGATCTCGGCTCACTGCAACCTCTGTCTCCCAGGTTCACGTGGTTTTCCTGCTTCAGTCCCCCCAGTAGCTGGGATTACAGGCGCACACTACCACGCCCGGCTAATTTTTTTTAAAAAAAAAAAAAAAAAAAATGGGGAGTTTCACCATGTTGGTCAGGCTGGTCTCGAACTCATGACCTCAGGTGATAGGCCCGCCTTGGCTTCCCAGAGTGCTGGGATTACAGGAATGAGCCAAAAAAAAAAAAAAAAAAAAATTTCTTATTTCTCCAGGAAGCCACAGTAAATCTCTTGGCGAAAAAAAAAAAAAAAAAAAAAACTGCACAGTCTTCTTCCCAGGCCTGGAAAGGGACCTTGATAAAAAAAAAAAAAAAAAAAAAGGGGCCCAGCAGGCCAGGGCAGCCTGGGGGCGTCTGGTCGGGGTGACCCAGCGGTCAGGCTGCGGTTCAAACTCCCCCTAGGGACGTCCACATAGCATTAAAAAAAAAAAAAAAAAAAAAAAGCTCCCGTCGCCTGTAAAGGACCCCATCAGTAGGGCTGGCAAAAAAAAAAAAAAAAAAAAACCAATCAGAGGCTGAAGATGGAAAGCACGGGCCAATAGGCAAAAAAAAAAAAAAAAAAAAATTGAAAATGAGCCAATCAGGGCGTGGGCTGTTGCCGGCCCGTCAGCTGTGTGTGATCCTGCCGCAGCCTGGGCCCAAGCCTGCCTGGGACTGGCTGCAGTGAAAAAAAAAAAAAAAAAAAACTGGGGCTCCGTCCAGCAAAGGAACAAGGGGCCTCTGTGTGAAAAAAAAAAAAAAAAAAAAGTCCCCGGGGACGTGCACAAGCCCTTGTCTGTTCCCAAACTAAAAAAAAAAAAAAAAAAAACTGGGGGAGCAGCTGCCTCTGTCCAGCCAGGGGTCAGGATGCCCCTTGGAGGGGGTGGCCAGGAACTGAGATGGCTGGGTGACTCCGGAAGCCTCCATCACTAAAAAAAAAAAAAAAAAAAACCTAACCAGACTTTTCTGGAACGGTACACACAGTCTTTGCCAAAAAAAAAAAAAAAAAAAAGGGGAGGACTCCCCTTACTCTCCCCGCTTCCTCCCGTTTGACTACGGGCTGGAACTTCCTCTCCCTTCATAAAAGGCATACACTGCACTGGCTCCTCTGACAAAAAAAAAAAAAAAAAAAAAAGCTGGGGGAAGGCCATGGTGTCTGCCTCTCATCCTCTCTGAAAAAAAAAAAAAAAAAAAACCCCCTCCCCCCACGGCTCAGTTTTCTTTGGTGGGTGGCGGAAAAAAAAAAAAAAAAAAAAGCTCAGTTTTCCTTGGTGGGTGGCGGTGGTGGGGGGGATGGAAAAAAAAAAAAAAAAAAAATGGGAGGGGGTGGGGGGGTGACTCAGGCTTTCATGGAACAAAAAAAAAAAAAAAAAAAAAAAAGGCTGCACACCCCTCCACCACTCACATGACTTCAGCAAAAAAAAAAAAAAAAAAAAAAAAGGACCTCCCAGATGGGGTCTCTCCCATCCTGACTCCCCCCACATCCCGCCTTCCTCACACCGGATGTGACTGCAGAGTGAGGACTCCACCCTGTTTGTTCCAGGGGCCTCACATCTGGATTTCATCCTGGCTGGGGAGGGGGTGCCAGCGCCCTGCCCATCCCCGCAGGACCTTCTGTCCCAGGGCAGAGCTAGATGGTGCTGATGAGAACAGGCTGTTGGAGATCTCATCTGGTTGGCTTACATCCCTTCCCTTTCCAAAGGATTGGAGGAAAGAGGGGAGCTAAAAAAAAAAAAAAAAAAAAGTTGAGTGCTTACTATGAGTTAACGTGCCTCATGCGTCATTAAAAAAAAAAAAAAAAAAAACCCCATGAAGTGGGCTTTCTTCTCTCCATTGCACGGATAAGGAGGTTCAGGCAGAGACAGCGTCTAGGAACTTGCCCAGTGTTTCAGAGGTGGAATGGGAGCAAAAAAAAAAAAAAAAAAAAGGTCTGTGTCCTTGAAGATGGTATGACCTCTGGGATGTTTGAACCTCAGGGCCGCCCTGGTGTCTCCCCAAGACCTTATCTTGGGAACACCCGTGGCCTTAAAAAAAAAAAAAAAAAAAAAATCCAGCGTTAGTGCGTGGTAATGAATGAGCAGGGCATGGAGAAAAAAAAAAAAAAAAAAAACCTGACCCAGGTCAGCATGAGGCCGAAGGCGCCTGTGTGTTAAAAAAAAAAAAAAAAAAAACCAGGCCCTGCCTAGGGCTTGCTCTTTGGGCCGGTGGGCAAAAAAAAAAAAAAAAAAAAAAATATTTTTCATGCTATTTGGGGGCGCTTCTGTCCCTTTGAAAGCGTGTAGCTACTCAGGAGGCTGAAGTAGGAGGATCACTTGAGCCCAGGAGTTGAGTCGAAAAAAAAAAAAAAAAAAAAAACTGCACTCCAGCCTGGGTGGCAGAGCAAGACCGTATCTCTAAAAAAAAAAAAAAAAAAAAAAAATAGGCAAGATGTCTTGGTTCATGCCTGTAATCTCATTAAAAAAAAAAAAAAAAAAAAATTGCTTGAGGCCAGGAGTTCAGGACCAGCCTGGACAACACAAAAAAAAAAAAAAAAAAAAAAAAAAAAAAAAAAAAATTAGCCAGGCGGCCGGGCCCGGTGAAAAAAAAAAAAAAAAAAAACACTTTGAGAAGCCGAGGCAGGCGGATCACGAGGTCAAAAAAAAAAAAAAAAAAAAAAAAACATGGTGAAATCCCGTTTCTATTAAAAATAAAAAAAATTAGCTGGGTGTGGTGGTAGGTGCCTGTAATCCCAGCTACTCAGGAAGCTGAGGCAGGAGAATCACTTGAACCCAGGAGGAGGAGGTTGCAGTGAGCCAAGTGCGCCACAGCACTCCAGCCTGGGCAACAGAGCGAGACTCTGTCTCAAAAAAAAAAAATTAGCCAGGCATGGTGGCATGTGCTTGTAGCTGAAGCTGAGGTGGGAGGCTGAGGTGGGAGGATCACTTGAGCCCAGGAGTTCAAGGCTGCAGGGAATTATGATTACACCACTGCACTCCAGCCTGAGGCAGAGCAAGACCTTGTCTTTAAAAAAAAAAAAAAAAAAAAAAATAAGAAAGAGTGTAGCCTAGGGCTTATAAGAGGCCACAGAAAAAAAAAAAAAAAAAAAACCGCTGGTTAAATTTGAGACTTTAGGAAAGTGAATTAACCTAAAAAAAAAAAAAAAAAAAAAACGGGGATGATGATGATTCTGAATTCATGTGGCCCTTCCTAAAAAAAAAAAAAAAAAAAAAATTGAATCTCAGTGCATCCGAGGCCAGAGCCCAGGTAGCAAAAAAAAAAAAAAAAAAAAATCTGTCTGTCTTCTCTGCAGTTCTGACAGCCCCATGGCCCCAGCAGGCCTCTGAGCCCCACCATGGGCAGCTTGTACTCGGAGTACCTGAACCCCAACAAGGAAAAAAAAAAAAAAAAAAAAACCAAAGAGACGCTGGACACGCAGGAGACGACCTCCCGCCAAAAAAAAAAAAAAAAAAAAATCATCCTCTGTTGCGCCATCGTGGTGGAAAACCTTCTGGTACTCATTGCAGTGGCTCGAAACAGCAAGTTCCACTCGGCAATGTACCTGTTTCTGGGTAACCAAAAAAAAAAAAAAAAAAAAGCAGGTGTGGCCTTCGTAGCCAATACCTTGCTCTCCGGCTCAAAAAAAAAAAAAAAAAAAACCGTGCAGTGGTTTGCCCGGGAGGGCTCTGCCTTCATCACGCTCTCCGCCTCTGTCTTCAGCCTCCTGGCCATCGCCATCGAGCGCCACGTGGCCATTGCCAAGGTCAAGCTGTACGGCAGCGACAAGAGCTGCCGCATGCTCCTGCTCATCGGGGCCTCGTGAAAAAAAAAAAAAAAAAAAAGTGGCCTGCCCATCCTTGGCTGGAACTGCCTGGGCCACCTTAAAAAAAAAAAAAAAAAAAAGCCTCTCTACGCGAAGCATTATGTGCTGTGCGTGGTGACCATCTTCTCCATCATCCTGTTGGCCATCGTGGCGCTGTACGTGCGCATCTACTGCGTGGTCCGCTCAAGCCACGCTGACGTGGCTGGCCCGCAGACCCTAGCCCTGCTCAAGACAGTCACCATCGTGCTAGGTGTCTTTATCGTCTGCTGGCTGCCCGCCTTCAGCATCCTCCTTCTGGACTATGAAAAAAAAAAAAAAAAAAAACCGATCCTCTACAAAGCCCACTACTTTTTCGCCTTCGCCACAAAAAAAAAAAAAAAAAAAACTGTCATCTACACGTGGCGCAGCCGGGACCTGCGTCGGGAGAAAAAAAAAAAAAAAAAAAACTGGCGGCCGGGGGTGGGGGTGCAAGGACGGAGGCGGGACGGGACCCCGGGCCACCACCTCCTGCCACTCCGCAGCTCCAGCTCCCTGGAGAGGGGCATGCAAAAAAAAAAAAAAAAAAAAATTCTGGAGGGCAACACGGTGGTCTGAGGTGGGGGTGGACCAAAAAAAAAAAAAAAAAAAAAGGGTTCATGGAGAGGCCACTGGGTGACGCCAGACAGAGACGAAAAAAAAAAAAAAAAAAAACCCCCGCCCCACAGACCTGGGTGATGTTGCAAATATTTCACAAAAAAAAAAAAAAAAAAAAGCACTGACTAGTCACATAGCAGTGTTGCAGTGGGGTCCTGAGGGCCAGTCCGGTGACTGGTGTGACCCCTTTAGAACTGGATCCTGGGGAGTCCAGGGCAGGAAAAAAAAAAAAAAAAAAAATGAGGGCAGGCAGCATTTAAGGGGACTTCAGGGCAGGAGTGAAAAAAAAAAAAAAAAAAAAGATTTTTTTTTTTTTTTTTTTTTTTGAGACGCAGCCTTGCAAAAAAAAAAAAAAAAAAAAACAGCGGCATGATCTCGGCTCACTGCAAGCTCTGCCTCGTGGAAAAAAAAAAAAAAAAAAAATCAGCCTTCCGAGTAGCTGGGACTACAGGTGCCCACCACCAAAAAAAAAAAAAAAAAAAAACTTTTAGTAGCGTGGGTTTCACCATGTTAGCCAGGATGGTCAAAAAAAAAAAAAAAAAAAATCCGCCCGCCTCGGCCTCCCAAAGTGCTGGGATTACAGGCGAAAAAAAAAAAAAAAAAAAATTTTTTTTTTTTTTTTTTTGAGGTGAAGTCTCGCTCTGTTGAAAAAAAAAAAAAAAAAAAATGCAGTCTCAGCTCACCACAACCTCCACCTCCGGGGTTCAAAAAAAAAAAAAAAAAAAAAATCCTGAGTAGCTGGGATTACAGGTGCCTACCACCACGCCCGAAAAAAAAAAAAAAAAAAAAGTATTTTTAGTAGAGACGGAGTTTCACCATGTAGGCCAGGCAAAAAAAAAAAAAAAAAAAACATGATCCACCCGCCTTGGCCTCCCGAAGTGTGGGATTACAAAAAAAAAAAAAAAAAAAAAGCGGTACAAAGAATTTCTACATTTTCTTCTGGCCCCCATTCAAAAAAAAAAAAAAAAAAAACGAATGTATTCCTCCTGCCACTTTCTCTGGGCAACTTCGTGAAAAAAAAAAAAAAAAAAAACGAGGAGCTAGAGGCCTCCTCTCTGACCCTCCAGAGCCCAAATCCACAGCTTCCCCAAATTTTATCAGCTGCCACTTGATGACTTCTCCTCTTCTCTCTGAGGCCCGGAAACCACGGCTGGAGGTGGGGAGGGGATGGCGACTGAGGTCCATTCCTCATTCTCAAAAAAAAAAAAAAAAAAAAACTATTTGGGGCACAAGTGGGAAAAACCAGTGTGGGTGGCTAAAAAAAAAAAAAAAAAAAATGATGTGGGGTAGGGCGCAACCTGAGAAAATTCTGGGGGCGAAAAAAAAAAAAAAAAAAAACTTTCAGAAACAGCCACCCCCAGGCTATTTTTGGGTCCACACCTGCAGCCCCAGCTAAAGTACCAGGTCTCCCGAGCAAGGCAGAGAGAAGCCTTGAGCCTGAAAAAAAAAAAAAAAAAAAACAAGATTTTTTTTGTTTTGACACGGTTTCAATATTTTTGTTAAAAAAAAAAAAAAAAAAAAAGTCTACTCTGTCACCCAGGCCGGAGTGGGGCAGTGGTTCAAAAAAAAAAAAAAAAAAAAACCACCTCCCGGGTTCAAGCAATTCTCCTGCTTTAGCCTCCCAAAAAAAAAAAAAAAAAAAAACCTGCCACCACGCCTGGCTGATTTTTGTATTTTTAGTAGAAAAAAAAAAAAAAAAAAAAAGCCAGGCTGGTTTCAAACTCCTGACCTCAAGTGATCTGCCCGCCTTGGCCTCCCATAGTGCTGGGATTACAGGTATGAGCCACTGTGCCCAGCCTTCATCTTTCAACTTATATTGAATGGAGCATGGGAGTGGCAGTGGCTAGGGACATTTCCTAGGGACACTAAAAAAAAAAAAAAAAAAAAAGGATTTCACAAAAACCTGTGGATAATGGAAGGGATGTTACAAAAAAAAAAAAAAAAAAAATGTGTGTGTGTGTGTGTGTGTGTGTGTGGGTGCGCGCATAGAAAAAAAAAAAAAAAAAAAACTCTCCCCATTACATTTCCCCAGAATGAATGCTGTCCTGTCAAAAAAAAAAAAAAAAAAAACTGCCAAAGTCAGGGAGCTCTGGTCCTGCCCAGACCCCTTTGGAATTGCTGACCCCTCCCCCCACTGGAGAGCTGGGGTGCAGCTCACCTTGGGGAAGGAAAAAAAAAAAAAAAAAAAAAAATCTTGTGAATGCGAAGCCTGGGGGAGCGGGTCTTTGGGGGGCAAGGAGCCAGTCAGGGGCTTGTTTCCTCTCATAGAGCTCCCCAGACATGCCCCCGCAATGAAAAAAAAAAAAAAAAAAAATAATAAACGGTTCAGTTTCTCTTTCTGGTGGTTGGTGTGTCTTTTCAGGGAGCACTTTCCCCCAGGAGCGCCCCATGGCGGGGCTGGATGGAACGGGAGGGGAAAAAAAAAAAAAAAAAAAAATCCTTTGCCAACCTTCCCATTCTGTGCCCCTGACACCCTTAAAAAAAAAAAAAAAAAAAAAAAACAGAGGTCAGCCGGGATCTTTCTCAGCGGCAACTCTCAAAAAAAAAAAAAAAAAAAACTAGGCCTGGGATCTCCCTGCTTTCCCTGAAAGAGACAGCCTGGCGGGTGGTGGGAGGCTCTTACATCCTCCCAGTTGTATGTGCCTCCCGGGGAGCTGGAGAGATGGTTTGAGCAGGGTACAAAGAACCCAGATACCCACCCTTAGACTCGGTGTTCCCAAAAAAAAAAAAAAAAAAAAAAATCTCCACCGAGCACTTTCCAGGCGTAAAGACTTGACTGCTCAAAAAAAAAAAAAAAAAAAAAACTCTCATGGAGGTGTGAGTTCAGAGAGATCAAGCAAACTAAAAAAAAAAAAAAAAAAAAAGTCGGGGTAGCGCCTGTCTGAGTTTGAACCCAAGCAGGCTGACTCCAGACCACACTGGCTCCACCACTGGGCTAGAGAGAGGCCACTCAGCTGAGTGCAGTGGCTCACTCCTATAATTCCAGCACTTCGGGAGGCTGAGGTGGGCAGATCACTTGAGATCAGGAGTTTGAGACCAGCCTGGCCAACATGGTGAAACCCCGGATCTGCAAAAAATACAAAAATTAGCTGGGTGTGGTGGTGGGTGCCTGTAGTCCCAGCTACTCGGGAGGCTGAGGCAAGAGAATAAAAAAAAAAAAAAAAAAAAAGGTTGCAGTGAGCCGAGATCACGGCACTGCACTCCAGCCTAAAAAAAAAAAAAAAAAAAAAAGAGAAAGAGAGAGAGGCCACTCAGCCCCCTCTTTGCCATGGAAGGAGGAGTCACGAAGTTCATCAAGAACCAGGAGAAGCCAAGACAGGATGCAGCCTGGAGTGGGTCCCTCAGTGGGCTCACTGGTGACATCCTCCTCTTTTGTCTGCAGGCAGCCGGTTCAGTGACTCCTTTGAGGACAGATCTAGAGTTTTTGTTGTTGTTTTTGTTTTTGAGACAAGGTCTTGCTCTGTTGCCTCGGCTGTAGTGCAGTTGGTGCCACCATGGTTCACTTCAGCCTTCCAAAAAAAAAAAAAAAAAAAAATGCACCACCATGCCCGGCTAATTTTTGAATTTTTATTTATTTATTTTTTTGTAGAGGGGGGTCTCCCTATGTTGCCCAGGCTGGTCTGGAAATCCTGGACTCAAGTGATCCTCCTGCCTCCACCTTGGCCTCCCAAAGTGCTGGGATTTCAGGCATGAACAGATGGGGGACCCTAGGTCCCCCAGCTGGAGCCCCACACGGCAACACCAGCTCTAAGACTAGGACAGCCAGTGAGAGAGAAGGCAGACCGCAGAGGCCGAGGGCCTGCAACCCCCATCGGAATTAAAAAAAAAAAAAAAAAAAAACAACAACCTCTGTTTGGAAACCTGAACCCTAGATGGGATAGGGGGTGGGGTGGGGGAAAAAGGCACAGACCAGGCTGGAGCCAGTAGATTTTCCCCAGGTAAAAAAAAAAAAAAAAAAAAACCCCTTCAGGACTCTGTTCAAATGCCACCTCCTCAGAGAGGAAAAAAAAAAAAAAAAAAAACCTCCTCACTTGCTTATCAGTATATGATTAAGTTGGTGCAAAAAAAAAAAAAAAAAAAAAAATTACCTTTAATGGCAAAAATCACAATGACTTTTGCCATTTAAAAAAAAAAAAAAAAAAAAATTGACTTTTTTTTTTTTTTTTGAGACGGAGTCTCGCTCTGAAAAAAAAAAAAAAAAAAAATGGCACGATATCGGCTCACTGCAAACTCCGCCTCCTGGGTTAAAAAAAAAAAAAAAAAAAAGCCTCCCGAGTAGCTGGGACTACAGATGCCCACCAGCACGTAAAAAAAAAAAAAAAAAAAATTTTAGTAGAGACGGGGTTTCACCGTGTTAGCCAGGATGGTAAAAAAAAAAAAAAAAAAAAATCCACCCGCCTCGGCCTCTCAAAGTGTTGGGATTACAGGCAAAAAAAAAAAAAAAAAAAATGCAATGACTGTTTTTTTTTTGAGATGGGAGTCTCACTCTGAAAAAAAAAAAAAAAAAAAATGGCCGGATCTCAGCTCACTGCAAGCTCTGCCTCCCGGGTTAAAAAAAAAAAAAAAAAAAAGCCTCCCGAGTAGCTGGGACTACAGGCCACCCGCCACCTCGAAAAAAAAAAAAAAAAAAAATTTTAGTAGAGACGGGGTTTCACCGTGTTAGCCAGGATGGTAAAAAAAAAAAAAAAAAAAAATCCACCGTCTCAGCCTCCCAAAGTGCTGGGATTACAGGCTAAAAAAAAAAAAAAAAAAAAATGCAATGACTTTTAATGGCAAAAACTGCAATGACTTTAGCAAAAAAAAAAAAAAAAAAAATTTATCTGTGTCTACCCCCATTAACATACAAGCACCATGAAAAAAAAAAAAAAAAAAAAAAATTTACTAATGTATCTCCAGCGTTTTGTTTTTTTTTGAGAGAAAAAAAAAAAAAAAAAAAAAGGCTTGAGTGCAGCGGTGCAATCACAGCTCACTGCAGCCTAAAAAAAAAAAAAAAAAAAACTCAGATGATCCTTCCACCTCAGGCTTCCTAGTAGCTGGCATTATAAGCCTGCTAATTTTCTTCTTTTGTAGAGACATGGTTCTGCCGTGTTGCCCAGGCTGAAAAAAAAAAAAAAAAAAAAAGAGATCTCCCCGCCTCAACCTCCCAAAGTGCTGAGATTACAAAAAAAAAAAAAAAAAAAAGGCTATTTATAGCTCTCTAGCATCTTTTTTTTTTTTTTTTTAAAAAAAAAAAAAAAAAAAACTTCTGAATCGTGTTGGAGGACCATCCTGGTGAACACCAGTGGAAACCCGCCTCTACTAAAAAATACAAAAAACTAGCCGGGCGAGGCGGCGGCGCGCCTGTCATCCCAGCTACTCGGAGGCTGAGGCAGGGAATGGCGTAAACCCAGGGGGCAGAGCTTGCAGTCGAGCTGAGATCCGGCCACTGCACTCCAGCCCGGGCGACAGAGCCAGACTCCGTCTCAAAAAAAAAAAAAAAAAAAAAAAAGATGCTAGAGAGCTATAAATAGCCAGGGCAAGGAGGTTCAACCACCTGATAATCTCAGCACTTTGGGAGGTTGAGGCGGGGGAAGATCTCTTAAGCGCCAGGAATTCCAAGACCAGCCTGGGCAACATCGGCAGAACCATTGGTCTCTACAAAGAAGAAAATTAGCAGGCTTTATAATGCCAGCTACTAGGAAGCCTGAGGTGGGAAGGATCATCTGAGGCCATGCAGCCATTAGGTTGAGCGCTGCAGTGAGCTGTGTGAATTGCCACCGCTGCACTCAAGCACTGGGTAACAGAGTGAGACCCTTCTCTCAAAAAAAACAAAACGCTGGGACGATACATTAGTAAATAAGGCAGTGTGCCAGTCCTATATTCATGGTGCTTGTATGTTAATGGGGGTAGCACACAATAAATTGATATATATTGGGTGGTGCTAAAGTCATTTGCCAGTTTTGCCATTAAAAGGTCATTGCATTAGGTTGGGTGCAGTGGCTCAAGCCTGTAATCCCAGCAACTTTGGGAGGCTTGAGGACGGTGGAATTACGAGGTTACGAGAGATCGATACCATCTGGCTAACCACGGTGCAACCCCGGTCTCTGACTAAAAATACAAAAAAAGTTAGCCAGGCGACGGTGGCGGTGGCTGTAGTCCCAGCTACTCGGGAGGCTGGAGGGAGGAGAATGGCGTAAACCCGGGAAGGCAGAGCTGTGCAGTGAGCTGAGATCCGGCCACTGCACTCCAGCCTTGGATGCAGAGTGAGACTCCCATCTCAAAAAAAAAACCAGTCATGCAGGTGGGCGCGG